CTCCCAGACGGCCCAAGAGGCCTCCAAGAGGTCCTCCAGGAGAGTCCGAAGAGGCCAAAATCATTGATTTTCCATTGGTTTTTGAAGGATTTTGGCATTTGCGCCTTTTCGGCTCTCCGACGGCTCAAGACGGCCCAAGAAGCCCCCAAGATCGCCCAAGAGGCCCCCAAGAGAGCCCCCTGATGGCCCAAGTGGCCTCCAAGATGGCCCCTAGAGGGCCCCAAGACGGCCCAAGAGGCCTCCAACACGCCCAAGATGGCCTCCAAGACGCCCAAGATGGCCTCCAAGACGGCCCTGGAGCGCCCCAAGAGGGTCCCCCGTTGGCCCAGAAAGGCCCCCCAAACGGCTCCCGACGGCGTCAGACGTGCCAGGAACCCACCAAGATGGCCGAAGTTGGCTCGAAGCTGGCCCAAAAGGGCCCAAGAGGCCCCCAAGAGGCCTCCAGGAAGGCCAAAAGATGTCACTGATTCTCCCAAGGTTTTTGCTGGATTTGGGCAGTTCCCTTTTTTCGGCCTTCCGACGGCCCGAGACGGCCCAAGAGCCCCCAAAGATCGCCGAAAGATCGCCCAAGAGGCCTCCAAGACGGCGACGATGACCATCAAGACGCCCACGTGTTCCCCGAAGGCTTTCCAAACCGATTCGGGGAACACATGGTCCGATGGCTTGGCAGGTCTGGCCTCAACGTTCGGCCACATAGGCGCTTCCACAAAGGCAGGGGGCGGCGGTGATTCGCCGTAGGCGTCTTCGATAAATGCTGAGTGAGAGGAGGGGAGGGAAAAAGAGAGGAGGGACGAGGGCGAAGAAGGATCACATCAGTCGGAGCGCCCCGGATCGGCGGCACTGGCCGAAGGCCACTGGAATAGAACTTCAACTTGGATGCGACATCGCTACACTCCGTGCGATCGGCTGCCCCCCCCCCCCCCCTCCTGGGAAGGTCATCGGCTGCTTGCCCCATCTGGGCGACGGCGGCCTGGCGGGCGGCGGCGGCGCCCCAAGTGCCTGGGGGCAGCAGGTCCATCGAGCCCCCCTTCGCTGGCGCAAGCGCCAACTGGCGAGTGCGATCTGCGGCGCAATCCACGCACCTACCACATTCATGGTCCACGGCCTTTGCGCGCGATGTCGGACCCTCGCCATTCGCGGATTCTGGATGTACCTACGCGGCAACTCAATGGCAACGCCTCGTGCGCGCGCCGAGCAGGTCGCGCGCCCCTCTGGGTCTGGCGCTCGCTGTAGAACAGCTGACGCGCGCGCTCGCCGAGCGACGTGGCCAAGGATAACGCGCGCGCGAATAGCTGGGCACCCGCCTAGGCGACGTCGGGGCCAGGGCCGCGGGGGCGCTCGAGGCGGCCCTGCAGCTCGGCGGGGGTTCGCGCGCATGGCCCCGGCGATGCGCAGCGGCCGCCCGCCGCCTTCTGACCGCGCTCCTCTCCCTGAAAACCATTCTGCCTCAAGTAGCCCCCGCGCGGCGCGCCCCCGCCCCTGCCCTGGGCCAGCGACGGGGGCGGCGGCGCAACTCTGATCGCGCTCTTGCAAGTCCGCGCGCCAGCGCCCTGCTGCGCGTTCGCCCAGGCGGGGCGCGACCCAAGATCGCTCGAGCGGCGATCGATTTGCGGGCAGCGGCTCCGCGCGTCGCTTCGCGGCCGCTTTTGCTGCTCAAGCGCGCTGTCTCGACGCCGCCAACGCCGCCGACTTGCCGCGGGGCCTCGACACCCAGCGATCCCAGCTGCGCTCGCGGTGGTGGCGTGGGCTGGGAATCCACGGGGGCCCCATGCTGCAGGGCCAGCGTCGTCGTGCCCTCGGCGCGCTGACGTCTCCGAGCACTGCAGCCGTCGGTGGCGTCCTGGTAGCCGGCGCCGTCGCGCCAGGATTGTTCGCGCAGCGAGCTGCCGCTCCGCCCGCGGCGCTGACGAGCCACGAGCGCTTCTTGTTCGCGAGCTCCGCAAGCATCCCGCGCAGCAGCTCATGCCTGCCAGCGACGGCCATCTCGCTCTGAGACGCGCGATCGACATGCGCGCAGGAGGAATCCGCTCCCGCTGGCGCTCGAGGGTCGGTGACTCGCCGGCGACCCCCATGCCGACTGTTTCGAGGCGTCGGGTTAGCAAGTATCCTGCCCAGGCGAGGTCGCCGCCGGTCATGGCGCCCAGCGTCTCGCGGGTGACCCGCAACTGGCCTGCCCGCTTCCTGCGCGCGCTAGGGGGGCGAACGGCGTGAAACACTGCGGTCGGCCACGCGACGAAACGACCCGCTCCTTGAAACGCTCCACTGGCTGATAGCCTGGCCCCTTCCCGCGTGGACATAACCTGTCGACCTGCTCGATCCCCGAGTTTCAGAACTGTCCAGGTTGTACCCTCGCGAAGGCGACGACGCCGTCCTCCGCGACGCGAGTTGGGGTTCCTTGAAAAGTTGGGAAAATCCTTCGCCTCCGTCTCCCAGCGCTCCACAAGAAGTGTTCGCTGCCTCGCAAGCGACATGGCACGCGCGCTCGCCCAGTCGCGGGCTCTGAAACCCGCCCCGTGCGCCAGCAGCGCGGGCCGTGACATTGCGCCGTATAGATTCGACGATCGCTGGGCCGCCTGGCCTGCTTCTGGGGGGGCGCCGCCCCCAGGCCCGTCGCCAACGAATCTATGATGGAGCTTTGCACACAGCGCCTCGGCGGCGGGTGCGGCGTCGCCCTGGGCAGGCGTAGCCGCGCCCTCAGCAGAGTTCCCCTCGCGGGCCCGCCAGCTCCGAAGACGATAGAACCTTTGCTGCCGCGATCCCCGCCCAGGGCTGGGTCCCTGCGCGGGCCTCCCGCGGCGCCGAGCGCGCTCGCATCGTGAGGGGTTTGTCGCCCACTCTGGGTGGCGACGCGCGCCAGTTAGTTGAAGGGTCGGCGTCATCCAGGACCCTGCGCTTCGACGCGCGCAGGTGCGTGCAAGTCGGCGACTCGCGGTGGCACTCTCCGGAGCTCGTCTCGCACATGTGCACGAGCATGCCGCTCAACGCGCCCTCGATCTTGCCAGTCAGAAACTTCCGAGCGAAGTCTTTCTCAGCACGGATGAATATCACCTCGATGAAGTAGCCCTCCCGCGGCGGTACACTGGGCACTCGCTGACCTGGAAGACGACGTTACTGAGCGTGCCAGTTCCGCCGCCAAGGACTGGCGACACCTCGAGAGCGTCCACCCCGACGGCCTTGTCGAGCGTGTCGTACTAATCGTCGTTATCGTAAATGTACCACCGCGTGGGCACCGTGATGGCGCTGTTGCCGGGGCCCAGGTCGCGGCCTTTCCCGCGCGGGGCAACCAACGCCCTGCGAGATCGCGACCGGCCTCCGCGGCCGCGACCCCCCACGTCTCCTCCAGCGCCTGGCGAGGCGCTGCTCATAGCAACCGCGCCTCCGGAGGCACTACGGCCGCGCGGTCTGCCGCGACCTCCAGCGGGTGCTCCGCGGCCTCCTCGGCGCTCCTCATAGCAGCCGCGCCTCCGGAGGTTCCACGGCCGCGTGGGTTGCCGCGACCTCCGCGGGGTGCGGGGCGGCCTCGTCCACCAGCGCTTCGCGAAGCGTGCCTTATAGTTTATAGTCCTACAATTCCCTGGTGACGTGGGCTGTCGCGACCACGGGCAGGTGCTCCGCGGCCTCCTCGTCCTCCAGCGCTTCGCGCCGCGCCAGATGGCCGCCCGCACGCCCCCCTTCGCCGCGGCGAGAGCGTGCGAGCCGCCGGGCCGGGCGCGATCGCCCGGGCGCCCCTGCGGGAGGGGCGGTCTACGAAGGCGGGCCGCCCCCACGCGCGCACAAGCTCGGGGATCGCCGGGCGGTCACCGCTGAGCCCAGATCGGCTCCCAGGGAAGCCAGGGGCGGCGCGCGCACTGATACTACCCCCTCATCCATACCCACTGCTGCGCAATGATACATTGAGGACCCTACTCGGAGCCGACATAAGGCCTACTTGAACCGCGCACGAGTCCTCAAGCATCCTACCATGGCCTGGTGGGACTCCTATAGCATCCTGCCAAAATCTCCGAATAACAACTCCCAAATGTTCTATTTGGAATGTGTACGGCTCTTTTAGGATCCTTAGTGGACTCCTACAGGATCCTTGTAGGCTCCTCGATCAATGCAAGTATCGCTGTGGAGGTGTTTGGCGTTTAGATGTGTCACTGTGTACGTAGGCGCATCGGTGTTTTGATGTGTCGGCGTATGGGTGTGTGAACGTGTGGATGCATCTAGATGTTTGGTTGTGTGAGTGTCTGGGGGGCGTCTGTATGTTTGAGTTCATGAATGCATCGATGTGGCAATGCCTGGGTATGTTGTGCGTGGGTGTTCGGATGAATGGGCGTCCGGGCGTCTGAAAGCATGCATTCCTAAGAATGCGGGTGTCTCGATGTATGGACGCATGATTGTCTGAATGTGGTTCCATGGAAAATGCTGATGAAGAACGGGCATACGAGTACATCCGCAACCAAAATGTCGGAAGGAGGAGAACATCCAACGCAACATCAAGAGCAGCGGTAGCAACCAGACCATATAAGACACACGCGTTGCTTAAACAGTCCACCAGCTGAGCAACGGAACGTCCACATATGCAGCAACGGGAGCAGACACGCGGCTCCGACCTCGACCCCGACCACCTTCGGGTGGAGTCCCTTGCAGAGCCCTGGCAACACCTCGCTGCGTGGCGAAGCAGCTCTGCGGCAGGATTCACGCCGCGATGACGCCGGCAGTGTCTTCTGACACCGCGTGCGTCACTCAGACTGAAACGACCGCGGCTCCCCTACGGCGCAGATCGTCCGATGTTGGCGCCCATTTCTGGCAGCTGGCGGCGTTCCACCTCGAACGCCAGCGCTAGGCTCTCTGCTGCGTCGACGCGGCGCGGACGACTTACCACTCACCTCAGGAAAAAACAGGGGACGGGGCGCCGCGAAGCCCCCGCCGCGGGAGCCAGCCGCGCCTCCACGAGGGAGCCGCCGCTGGCTCGGCAGGCGGGGGCTCCACGGCGCCCAGGGGTGTCTGGCGGCTCTTCAGCCGCCGACAGCCTCCTCACCGCGTCCGCCGTGAGGCACCGCATGGGGCACCGCCAGTTGCGTCCAGCCGGGCATCCAGTCAGACATCGTGAAGCTGCGATCGCGACACGCGCGCCCTCGCTGGGTCGAGGCGCGGAAAAAGGTACGAAGCAAGTGCATGCCCTCCTCGAGTCTGCGAAAGAGGCTCTCCAGCCGATGACTTACAGCCAACCCGTGTGATCCCACCAGTCCTTTGGGCGACAAGTGTTCTAACAATGCCTTTCTCTCTTCATCCACAAGCCGTTCTTCCCCTCCGGGGAGAAATTTATCACTGCTTCCTATTATTCTACACCCCCTCCCCCGCTCGGCTGACGGCAAACCCGGCCGAAACCGTGCCGACCCCATGCGGGCCCACCCCCCTCATCCCTGTCAAAACGAATACAACACGCACTATGCCTCTTCATTTGAAGCATGCGCGGCCAACCCGATGCGCCCCCCCTACCATCCCTTTCAAAAAAACAACATACACTTCGGAACAAAGTCTTGAGTCATGTTCGCGGGGCCCGCGAACACGTTGTACTGTTTTTGACAGGGATGGCGGGGGTGTCAGCATGTTCCCTGCTGTGCGCAGAGCTACCATCTCTGACAAACAAACTGGATCATGCGCGACCACCCCGCGATCACTGTCAAGTGGTTTTGACAGGGACGGCGGGGGTGGTGGCGCGTGGCCTGCTGTGCGCAGGCCCACCAGACACAATGATGGGCTTTGGTTTTCGACAAGGGTGGTGGGGACCGACATGTTTCCCGATGTGTGCTGTCACGTGCGCAGGCGCGCCCAACGCACTCTGCACGTGCCACGAACGAGGTGCACCTGGCGCGGCTGGAGTGTGCGGCACACCTGGCGCACTCGGAGCACGTGGCGCATGCGGCACACCAAGCGTACCTGGCACGCTCGGGCCCCAGGGTTGCCTGGCGCGCGTGGCGCCCCTGGCACGGGTGGCGCACCTCGCCCAAGCGTCGCGCACCTGGGGTCGGCGTTGGTTCCAAGTAGCTGCCCATCCAAATACGACCGCTAAACATGCTCAAGCTTGGATGTTACTTGTGTGTTGGGAGGGTGGGTGGGAGTGAGCTAGACGGCTTGCGGGCGGGTGGGTAGCTAGACCCCTCCCCCTACCCCCTCCCTGGACCTGGACGGGGGGATTCGCGAGGGGTTGGAGCGTCCAAGTTGGCCCAAGATGGCTCCAAGAGGGCCTCAGGGAGCCCAAGATGGCCTCCAAGATAGCTAACAGCATGCCTGCAAGAGGCCCCAAGAAGGTTACAAGACGGATCCAAGTGCTTGTGGAGACCCCTCAGGACCTCCCCGAGAAGCCAAAATCTTTTTAAAAAGGAAACCAACTGATTTGTGCCTTCTCGCCGTTTCTATTCCGATGCGCTTGTGAGGCCTCAAGATGCCCCCGAGTTGGCCCAAGACGGCCCCAAGAAGGGCCCAAGAGGCTCCCAAGATGGCCCCCAGAGCGCCCAAGATCGCCCCAAGAGCGGAGGCAAATCGAGGACCCCCCCTCCTTTGGTCGATGGACTCCAGGATGGCTCGGGGAGGCGCTCCAGAGCTCCCAAAGAGAGCCCCAAGAGAGCCCAAAGAGAGCCCAAAGAGAGCCCCAAGGGGGCACCATGAGGGCCCCACGGCACCCCAAAAGAGCCCCAAGAGGACACCAAGACCCCAAAGAGCCCCGAGCGGGCCCCTAAGGGCCCCAAAAGAGCTCCAAGAGGACCCCAATATCCCCAAAAACAGCCCGGTAGCTCCAAGAAGGCCTGCGATGCTCCAAGATAGCCCCCCAAATGGCTCAACACCCTCCTTCCTCTCCTCTCCTTGCATGCCGTGCTTCACTATATATGTGTCTCTTCGTCCCTTTTCCCGTCCGCTCTCATGGGCAGGGCTCCTGAATGGGCTGGTGGGGATTCGCGAAGCGTAAACAATAAGGATATGCGGTAATGATGCACGAGCCTTGGAAGGCCATGTTAACGGATTTCGAACAAGGTTGGCCAGCAAGTCGCTAAGGACGGGCCGAAGGGGAAGGATGCAGGGGTCACCGCGGATAGCTGCTCATCTTTACCATGCGGGCTGCCTCTAAATGAACGAACAACGAGACAATGCTGTACACTCCCTGGCGCACGGAGCGCGCTGGGGGCGACCCTGGCGGCGCCTGCACGGCCGCCCCCGGCGCGCTCTGCGCGCCGCCGGGGAGGACGCGCACAACAAAAAAAAAGCAAAAGGAACTGTGCACGGGACGTTCTGCCGGTGACACAACATCCATGGAACAGACGTGACCGGCCTTACGTGTCCCCTGCATCGAATGCAGCATGCATCCAAAGACGGCAGAACCGGAGTCAGAAGCGCCGCCGTGAAAACCGAGCGCGCTGGGCGAGAGGGCGCCCGCGCTGGAAAAGCGGGCCTCCCTAGACCATCTCCCCGTCCACGTCCGCAGGGCGCGCCACGAGCTGCTCCCCAGACCTCGTCTGGCAGCTCACCCAACCCTCCACGCCCATCGCCCGACCCTCCAAGTCCAGCCCGTTGCAGCACCGCACCTAAGAAGAAGCTAGGACGAGGATAAATTCGGGCGAGGGTAAATCGAGAATCTCTGAGATCAAAAAAAAACTATGAGAGCGTTCCCGAACGCTCTGGAGCGGATCTATCCTCGTCCTGACCCTGTCCGAGCACCTTGATGCGCCGGCCCTCGCCCACCTCCAGGACCTCCAAAGGCACCAGCGGGTCCAACTCACCCACTTTGTCGCTGTCGAGCCGCTGGTCCCGCCTCACTGTCACGGTGGAGACCGTCCAGCCCGCAGACCCGGGCTGGAAATACGCGCTGGCGGGCACCTCTGACGGGTGGCCGTCGTTGGCACTGGGGCACTCCTGCTTGCGACGTCCTGCCCACCACATGCTGCTGCGGCCCCCGCGCGCGATTCTGCGGCCTTCCAGCGCTGCGTGAGCTAGGGGACGAGCCAGCTTGAGCCGAGGGGGGCCGCGGAAAGGGCGGCAGAATATGCACTCGATGCAGGTCTGGGTATGGCTTGCCATCCTCTTTTGCCAGCGCCCGCGGGTAAGTCCAAATGCGTTTGCGGAGGCGGGGGTACGAAGAGCAAGCTTGCCCTGCCTTTCCTAGGCTGTGGAGCCTGGACCCATGGAGCCTGATTTCACTCCACATTTGGAAATCAGAAGACTGTGTGATCCTCTAATCCTTGACATGCGTGTAAAGTCATCCACGTCAACATCATATTCTATAACGCCGAAGCAATATTGTGGTGCGGAGCGCCCACAGGAAGAAATATCTGTATCACATTCATCCATTGTGTGAGGTGGCGGGGGGTTCTGTGGGGAAAAGGCAGCAAGAATGCGCAGCATTGCAAATTTCCGTACCTCAGGACCTCCGTGGAGTGTTCTCTGGCCATCGCTCGGACGTCCATTCCACGTGCATTGTTCGGTTTCGTGTATTTTTTCGTATGATGATCGAACATGCTCCGCGATGGTCCTCGCGGAGAATGTATACGTCCGAGCGATACTAACTTGTTAGGCCCCTCAATTCTCAAGATAACATCGTTCATGCTCACTAGAGGGCCCCATCCCTCTTGGGCGCTCTAGGGTGCGCCTGCGGCTTGTCGCGTGGCCCCCCTTCTTGCATGTCCAAACTGTTTTCAACATGGCCTAAAACGTTCCCAAAGGCCGTTCATGGAACCATCTTGGGAGCTTACCGGACCGTACTGGTGGCCAATCGGATATTGTTGCCATCGTCGAAGGTACGGACTTAAAGGCGCTTAAGACAGCCGAGGAGGCCCAACAATATCGCCCCGCGACGACACCCCAGGCTCCCAAGAGAGGAACAGAAGAACCCTAAGACGGCCAGGGGAGAGGAACAAAAGCGCACCACCGCCAGACAGCTCAAAACCTGGCCTCCAAGATGGGCCAAAGACTCCCAGAGGATGGGACTTAGAAGCCCCCGAGAAGCCTTAACAAGGCATCAAGAGGCCCAAAAGAGGTTCCCAGACGGCCCCAAAACGACCTCTGAGAGTCCCCTCAAGAGACAATTATGCATCTAAAAGTCCTCTGGTCCCCGGCCATGGGAAAGTGGGGGATGTACCAACGATCACAAGAGCCAAGACGGCCCACGATAGACCACGACGACCCAAGATGGCCTCAAGCCGGCACAAGAGGCCGCTGTTACGATCCAAATTCCTCCAAGAGAATCTGCAAGAAACCCTCGGAATGCAACAACAACAACAACAACAACAACAACAACAACAACAACAACAACAACAACAACAACAACACGGATGTTCCTAAAATGTGTTCAATGATTTTAGTGTCCTCGCCACTTCGGGCTTCCGAAACGGCCACGGAACCCTCCAATATATCCCCAATACGGTCCCAGACGCCCCCAACGGGGGCCCCGAGCGGGCCAAGAGGGGTCCAAGACGGCCCAAGGGGCCCGCAAGATGGCCCCAAGAGACCTCAAAGGCAGCCTTAAGCGCCCCAAGACGGCACAGTGATGCCCCAAGACGCCCTCCGAAAGCTAAGAGGTCCCTTGGAGGCCCCCGAGAAGCCCCACGAGGCCACCACGAAACGCCCTTTTACTCGTGCCCCTTCCTCTCGATTCCTTCTCATAATAAATAACTCCTCCCTGTCGCACCCCGAGGCCAATTTTTTAGGGCGGGCCGGGCGTTTCGCCTGAGCTTTCCTCACCATTTATGACCCTGAAGCTTAAAAAGTGACAACAGTTTCACAGATGCAGAGCGGGTGGTTTTCAAAATGTGGCTCTCGCCTTAGCGCCGCGCACATTCGCTTTAAGCATTTGCAAGGGTTTCACAGATTGAGGGCGGGTCGTTTTCAAAATGTGGCTCTCGCCTTAGCGCCGCGAACACCCGTTTTAAATATTCGTAAGAGTTTCGCGGATTGAGAGCGGGTCGTCTTCAAAATGGAGCTCTCGCTTTAGGGCCGCGCGCACTCGTTCTAAGCATACGCAAGAATACTCACGGATTGAGGGCGGGTCGTTTTCAAAATGTGGCTCTCGCCTGAGCGCCGCGCACACTCGTTATAAACATGCGCAAGAGTTTCACGGATTGAGGGCGGGCCGTTTCCAAAATGTGGCTCTCGCCTCAACGCCGCGCACACTCGATTTAAACATTCGCAAGGACTTCACGGATTGAGGGCGGGTCGTTTGCAAAATGTGGCTCTCGCCTTAGCGCCGCGCACACTCGTTCTTAAACTTTGCAAGAGATTCCCGGATTGAGGGCGGGACGTTTGCAAAATGTGGGTCTCGCTTTAGCGCCGAGCGCACTCGTTCTACACATGCGCAAGAATTTTCACGGATTGAGGGCGGGTCGTTTGCAAAATGTGGCTCTCGCCCTAGAGCCGCGCACACTCGATGTAAACATTCGCAAGAACTTCACGGATTGAGGGCGAGTCGTTTTCAAACTGCGACTCTCGCCTTAGCGCCGCGCACACTCGTTAAAACAATTCGCAAGAGCTTCACGGATTCCCATGACCAACGTACCAGAAATTGCGTTCTGGAAAGATTCAGGATTATGCGGGTGCAACAATTATGTTGATTCGCGGTGTTGAAATCCAGAAAGTGGCGCCCTGGAACGATTCCGGATCGTCAAGACGCAGCAGTCAGGTTACACGTGGCCTTGAAATCCCGAGACCAATGCTTTGGCATGCTTCAGGATGTTGAAACGGTTGCCTTCCAACGAGGCAGTTCCCTCAATGGAAATGAACCGTTGTGGGGGACTATGAAGAGGGATCTTGAATGGAGGGTTAATTCCAACATCGCTGATGACTCTTGGTTTTACACTGGTCCTCCTCCTGCTCCTCCTCCTCCTCCTCCTCCTCCTCCGCCTCTCCCTTCCTAAAGGCGATCCCAAAGGCGATTCCAACGGCACGGGGCGGCGGCGGGTCACCGCAGGCGTGTTCAGGTACATGGAGGCAGCGCCTTTACAAGTCTACTCTGCACAATCAAACTGCACACTACACCTAACCTTACAATGGCATCATGGATGGGCGCGGATGCCCGGCAACATGTCTAGTGCGCGATGACTCGCCCCAAAAAACACCTGCCCCCCTTGATTCTCCACTTCCCCTTTGGGGGCGGCCATGAACTGCACGAACTGCATAACCATCATGTGGGCCATGTCCAGTGTCTCCGGGCTGAGGCCCTGGCGGCATCTCTGCGCCCATAATCCCCGCGCATTGATCGTCGTGCGTGCTGGAAACGGGGGCTGGGTAGGGGGCGGAGACCTTGACATCCGACTATGCTTCCCGGCGCAAGGCTTGCACTGGGGAGTGCTCCTGGGCCGTCTGCATCAGCCGCCCCACCTGCATTCGCATCCCGATCCACCTCTTCTTTGGCTGTGGAGGTAGGAGGAAGTCTCCGGAGGTCGCCAGATGAAAAGAGGAGGATGAATGTAGAAGAAGAAAGCACTGCGTACACATGTAAGATGCCGAAGGTCCGCGCAGATTTCTTGGATCGGAGATGGGCCCCCCTGCCCTTCAGCGCAGGGGCGGCGCTGGAGGCACTGCCACGGGGGGTCACAGTGTGACGCGAATTTCTTGGATCGGCATGCGACAGTCACACACCGATCGAAGAAATTCGCGCGGACCTCAGACAATTCATGCTGAACCAAAGAAAACAATGAAGGCCCCACCCCACCTCAACCAGCGAGAACATAAGGCTACAAGGCATCCTGCACCGCGGTGTGATATTCCCGACCCCCGAAGGTATCCCGAGGCTTTCTTAAGAAATCTTGAGGGCTCTCGCGGGATCCTAAGGGTTTCCACACGGCTTCCGATGCGTTTCATCAGGATGGCTTAGGGCGTTCCGCAGAATTCCAACAAATCTTACATAATCCCACAGATCGCCAAAGGAATCCAAAGAATTTGTGAAGGACGTCCTGAAGAAACATACGAAGGATTTCGTAGGGAATCCGATGGATTCCCGACGGACTCCGGATGATCTCCTGAGCAACTCTTGTTATTCCCAAAAAGAACACGAAATCCCAACATAAGTCTGATCAATTATTTGCACATGGAATTTAATCGGGTGCCGTAAGAACCATGGACTTCCCATTGGATTCCAAAGGATACGCGCAACCTGTGCAAGATCACTCTCATTTAGACCACCACGCGCAAACACATCAAGTACAAGACCGGTATTAAGATATCGCCCAGGGTTGGCGCCGCGGCTTGTAATTCCGCCGTGCACGGTCCGACACGCCGACCAAATGGAACTCTCGCCTGGGATTTCTTTCGATTTTCTATCGCAAGCCCAGCATTGAGACACTGAAGCGGCTACATGGGTGCCTGGCGGCTCCTTCTCAGACAAAACACTCCAACTTCGGCATCTCCTGCAACAGACACTAACCTTGCAACCATTCCTTGTGGCTCGAAAGACGGGCGGCGGCTTCCTTTGAACCGAAGTTCCCGTCCGGATAGCGGGCCCATGGGGCGCTCGTCTTTCAAGGGCCGTGCTTCGCGCAATGAGCGAGGATACTTGTAGCGACGAGTGGGCAGGGGACGACAGGAGGGTGCGTTGCAGCATCGCCGCAGCCTCTGAGCGGGACTGCCACCGGTCGACCGCCGCGCCTGGCCGGCACGCGCGGGCGCGCGCCACCGGGCCCAGGCGCGGGGCCCACCCGTTCCGAGATGGGGGGGAGGATGGGGGGGAGACGCGGGCCACCCATGTGCGCATGATCCTCCCGAGGTTTCCGAGGAGAGTGGGGGGAAAGAGCGCTGGGGCCCCTCCAGGGATGTCGCAGCAGTTGCCGACGACGGCCTCACGTGGCACCCCACGGCTGCGGATGAGAGTGAGGGGGCGGCGGGGACGTCGGCAGTCTGCGAGGCTCTGAAGAAGCCTGCCGCAGGCGCCTTGTTTTTACGAACTACACAAC